CCCCCACACCCTGCAGGTCGCCCACACCCTGCCCTGCCCCTGCTTCGGCACAGGCAAGCCCTGCACTAACCCCCCGGACCTGCAGAACGGCAGGATGGTCATAGACAGAGACACCAGATTCGGGTCCACGATCACCTACACCTGCAACGAGGGGTGAGTGGGGGTGCGCCGATCCCGCCCGGCCGCGGAAGGCGGGGAGCCAGCGCGAGGAGGCCCGAATGCAGCCACCGCACTCCCGGGGCCTAAGCGCTCGCTTGCCCCGTGAGGCGGGGTCACACGGGGCGGGGTGCCCCGTCAGTACCCGGCCGTGCATTCGACCCCGCGGCCTCGAGAAGCAAGTGGACCGGACACCCCAGGAGGGTTGGGCAGGCGCCTCGGGGCGGGGAGGCGATGGGGAGACGAGGGTGTTGCGGTCCCGGGGTGGCACGCCTGGGCTTGGCCTCGGGGGCACACTGGCTTCGGGAACACGCAGGGGAGACCGCCCCCCTTAACGCTGGCGTTTCACCCCTCCTCCTACCGAACCCCTCCGCGCCCCGCACCCCGCCCACAGCCTCCGGGCGGCCAGCACTGGCCGGCACTTGACTGCAGACATTTGCGCTTGTGAAACGCTTGCGCGCGGGCGGGGGCGGGGGGACACCCCGACAGGGAGACCCGCTGGGGGCCCCCACGCCCTCCGGGGGCGCTGCAGATAGCCCGGGGCGCCTGTTCCTCGCCTCCAGGTTTCGCCTCATCGGGCAGTCCTCCAGCACATGTAGCCTCTCGGGGGACGGCGTCGCGTGGGACAACGAGCCCCCTCTCTGTGAGAGTGAGTTGAGAGGTGTCTGCCAGGCCCCGGGGGGGCCCCGCCCCGCCGCGCCCTGGTCTGTCCTGCGGGGTGTCGCGAGATGGGTCAGGCACCGGCCGGAGTTCCGCCTGGTCCTGGGGGACACCGCCCTAAGTTGGGGGTCTCCACAAGTCGGGGTCTCCAAGCCTGATTTTCCCTTCAACCCGTGAGGCGCCCCGATGCCCCCAGCCCCCCGCGGCGCCCGAGCTCAGGGCGCCTGGTGTTTCTGGCCCCCCTTGTGGCCACCCAGGCCGGGCGCGTCCTGTTTTGTACCTTCCGGAGGGACCCACAGGGGGGTGCACCCCGCCCTGGGCCTTACTGGGGCGCGTCCACACCGCCCTCGGGTTTCCGGAGCACACACCTGCCCCGGCCTTCCCTTTCCTGCGCGGGTGTCTGTCTCTCTCACGCGTTTAGGGCTTTTTTTTTCCTTTGCAATGTTTATTTTTTTTATTCTATTAGTTTATTTTTACATATCTTTGTGCCTTTTCCCATCTCAGTTGCAATCCCCGCGGCTTCCCATCACCAGGTCACCCGTGTGCCATCACCCTAGTCCAGGGCATTTCTCCCCTCCCCCCCACGTTCGTTCAGGGCCTTTTTATTTTACTTTCTAAAGCAACATCAGTTAAAACAGACACGGAAGCGGGCAGTAACATGAGAAAGCGTAGAGAGTTGTGGGCAAGCAGCGGGTGGTCACGTTGCCACAGACCGCCGCCCGGAAGCGCGGGGTCATATTAACAAAGGTCTATGCCAGGGGAGCGTTGGGAGGAGAGCAGAGCTCGCCGCGGTCGCTGTGACTCCACGGCTCGCCGGCGGGGGTGGAGGTGGACACGGAGTGCCCTGCCTGGTGTCCGGCCGCCGGTGACCCTGTTCCCTGACCACGCCCCCCCAGGTATCCCTTGCGGGCCGCCCCCGAGCATCGCCAACGGACGCTTCACGAGCTCGAGCCTCGATTACTTCCCCTACGGGTCGGTGGTCACCTACCAATGCCTCCGCAGCGTGTCGGACTGGAGGACGCCGCCCCTGAGCCTGGTGGGCCCCAGGACCATCTACTGCACCAGCACCGACGGCCACACGGGCGTCTGGAGCGGCCCCGCCCCCCACTGCCTGCCGCCCCGCTCCTGCTCGCCCCCCACCCTGGGCCCGGGGCTCTGGGTGTCCTCGAACAGGAGCCTGTTCAACGTGGGGGACACGGTGACCGTGCAGTGCCTGCCGGGCTTCATCCCCAAGGGGCCGACGCAGGTGCGCTGTGAGCCACAGAACCGCTGGGGCCCGCAGCTGCCCACGTGCTCCAGGGGTGAGTCCCCAGCTGGGGGGCGGGGTGTCTGGGGGGTCCTCGGGGAGTGGGGTCGCCAGGAAGACAAACCTGGGTGAAGTAGTGTCCAGTGGGTGGGCGCAGCCCAGCGGGACCTTCCCTGGGGAGCGAGGGCTCCGGCGGCCAAGGCGGGGTCCTGGGGACCCCCGGGAGGTTCTGGGCTCTGGCGCGTCAGGTGCGCTGGCAAGGGCTCCCCCTGCTCTGGCCGCCTCGGAAACAGCTCCCCGGGCAGCCTGGCCCAGGGCCCCGCTGAGCCCAGACACGGAGCGGTGTCCAGGGGCCCGGGCCGAGCTGTCCCCTCGCGTCAGAGGACCTGCTGGCCATCTCTGGCCCCCGCGTGCCTGTCCCACGCCGCCTGCCCTGGGTCACTCGCATCTGAAGCTGGAGGGGGCCGGCCTGGCTGAGCCAGCATCACCCCTCACCCTGGCTGAGGCAAATGGGAGGTGGACAGCGGGTGTCCAGGCCTGAGCGGACCCCGAGTGCCCCCACACCCTACGGCGTGCTTCGGGGACTCTGTCCCCAGGCACGTGGCCTGGCTCCCCTGGGGCCTTCACTCTCCCTACCCACACCCAGGGCAGCCCGAGGGGCCACTTGTGGGGCGCCGGTCACCCCCACCCAGCCCCAGGAGGTGTCGAGACTGTGAGGAACAGAAGGGCTGCCTCTAGAAGTGGGGGCCCCAGGAAGCCGGGCCCGGGCCGCGGCAGCTCTGGCCTGGGCCTGGCGGGGCCGGGCCCTGGCACCGGGGGAGGACGGCCGCGGGGCTCCCGCCACTGAGGCATGGGTTGGCTGGGCCCGAGTCCCGGTCAGCTCTCTGGCCTGCACGGCTGTGCCCCCACACCCCCACGGCAGGGGCGCCAG